CAAATCCTGCAAGTTGCCCTCTGACCTCCACATGCATGTTGTGACACACACATGCATACACATAAATAAGAAAACAAACGGAGTAGAGGCCGTGGATGCAGAAGGTCAACTGTAGGAAAGAAAATAGTGGAAGAATAAGCCAAAACCCAAAGTGGTTGTTACCTCAGGTGGAACAGGAGAAGAAAGGACACTTTTAGTATTAGATTTTTGTATTTTAGATATTAAACTAAGGTTTGTAAATTATAGAAAGGAGCTTGAAAAAAAATAATGTGTAAAATAAGCCAGCATTATGCCCCTTCTCAAAACTTTCACTGCCTGCCCTGTGTTGTATAAATAAGACCAACCTCTACTGGTTCACAAAACCTTTTTATTCCTGACTCCACCTGTCGCTTGGATCCAGTGTCACAAGACTTCTCCCTCACTCTCAGCCTTGCCAAAATGCATTCTGCCCAGTCACAAGAGTTCATGGTCCCTAAAGCTCTATGTGCCTGATAAACTCCCACTTATCCTTCTGGTCTCCATTTAAGTGTTACCTCCTCAAGGGAATTCCCTCTCTCTCTCTCTCTCTCTCTCTCTCTCTCTCTCTCTTTCTCTCCCTCAAGGCCCCAGACAAGATCCGCTTGCTTTGCCTTACTCTCTTCATAAGAGTGTGTTCCCTTCCTTCACAGCACTCATCTTTGTTTGACCCTATTTCAATAACTGAATCATTTCTATCTAGCCCCAGCTCACAACAGCTGAGTGGGAAGGACTGTCTGAGTTTTCTCATTAGCTCACTTCAGTGGCTAATGAGGAGACTGTCTGAAAGAAGGCACTAAATAGAGAGTAGATGAATGGATGGATGGTTAGAGGGGATCCTGGGGGCAGGGGTCTTCCAAGATTCTACCTGGAGTGACTGGTGTCATTGGGTAAGATAAGAAAAACAGAAATGCTGGAGGAGAAGTGAAAAGGGCAAAAATGCAGCCAGGCTGAAGCAGGTGGGTTAGAAACACTCAGGTACGCTGGTGATAAGCATTCTAAAAAAATAAGCCTAATTACCCACTGGCAAGATGGCTCAGCAGGTAAAAAGCTTGTCCCATGGGACTTCTGAGTTCAATGCCTGGACCCAACATAAAGGTAGAAGGAGAGAACCACTCTCAGAAGCTATTCTTTTGCCTCCACATGCATGCCATGGCACATAATTCCCAGCCCCCAATATATGTCTCTTCCTCTCCCTACACAAACACACATATAAATGATGATGATGATGAGATGATAATGATGGATGATGATGGTGGTGGTGGTTGTTGGTGGTGGTTGTTGTTGGTGGTGGTGGTGACAGATTTTAGTTTCAATCAGGGCTGCGGAAGGTGGCAGCAGCCAGCTTCACACACCATCTGACAGTTAAAGCTATGAAAGTACTCAAAATGGTGCCAGAATCTCCAAGGGAGAATGTGCCTCTTGGGAAGCAGATGTCCCAGAAGACGCAGAAAAGGACCTTGTGAAAGCATAGTCAGTGAGGAGAACAAGCCAAAAGAAAGGGAGACTTGGGAAGGCCAAAACCTGAGCCTTCTGGGAGGTAGCAGTCAACAGTCTCCAGGGCCGGAGAGTTTCAGTTAGACAAAGGTTAATTATTACAGAAGGGCTGGACATCGAGCTCGGGTGACAGACTGCTTGCCGAGTAAGCGCACGGTCCCATGTTTGCTGCTGTCACTGCATAAAGCAGGCATGGCGATATGCACAGGAGCCTCTCGTTCCACACTCAGAAGGTAGAGACAAGAGAATCAGAAGTGTGAAGAAGGAGAAGGTAAAAGTAGGAGGTGGTGGTGGCAGAGAGAATAATAAAGGAGAAGTCCAGATGAAACAATGACCTAGAGGAGATAGTAGAGTTACCAGGCAACACATGGGGCAGGATACACTATACAGCCTTGAAATACATAGGACTCTTGAATCTGTAGAGAGCTGCGGGCCAGGTAGGGGGTATTTCCAAGGAAGGACATTTGATTAGCACAAGTCAATCCTTTTATAGCAATCATTCTGCAGTGTACGTAGTATCACAGCATGCCCTATGTGCATACATAACTACAATGTTCAAGATACAATAAAAGAAAAACGCACAAATGTTAATGACAAAGCCAAAAGTAAAAACAAAGACAAGAACAACAACAAAAAGAAAAAAAAAATTTAGTTTAGGACACCAAAGGCAAAGAGTTGGGAGAAAAGGAAACTGGGAAATGAAGGGCAAGGATAGAGCAGGAAAAAATGAACATTGTAGACAAAAATGGCCATGTGGCCTCTGTGGAAATGGGGAAGGACTGGGATTCCCATTCAATGTTCTACACCTAGCTCCAGGAACAGGAGCTTTGTGCCCATGCCAAACAGCACTCTTGAGCACTAGAGATTCCTACAGGACAGCAATCTTGAATTAAAACTACCAAGCATTTACTTCAGAAAAATTCCCAGAGTCTTGGGGAGAATAGAAACCTGAAACTGTGTTTTCCTGGTTTACAAGGGACTTATCATCCCATCTCTCCAGATTCATGCTTCCTCTTGAAGGAATAGAGCTCAAGCCTTAGACCAAAAGCATCACTAAGCTTACTTTGGAAGAAATTCAGAATTTTCTCTTTAAGCACACAATTCCCAAGTGAACAGCAGATGGCAGCAAAGACTTAGGAAGAGAGAAAAAGAAAGACAGAGACAGAGAGAGACACACACAGAGAGAGAGACACACACACAGAGAGAAGACCCGTCCTGGAAATAGCTCTACACCATCCAGACAGAAGGTAGAGCACTTTTAAGTTCTACAGATTGGTTAGGTGCTCTTACCCAGGACCTGGAGTGAAGAACACATCATTATTTCTGTATTGTCACCTAAATCCTGACCAAACTCAGGTGACAATAAGCAATAAAAGGGCATACACCCCTTCTTATGGTCCTATTTTTACATCTCATGAGTCAGGGACCTCAGATACAGCACATTTTCACTAAGAATATACAACAATCTTCTTGGAAATGGTACAGAAATAATGAGCTGCCCTTTGGAAATGGCATTCTGTTTATACACTCCCCTCTGCAGCACTTAACTATGCTGTGTTGCAATGTTCTACCTTCTCCAGGTCTCCCATTCACAACTCTCAATGCCTGACACATGAGAAGTGTTCACCAAATCCACATTGTTGAATTGAATTGAAACCCAATTGTTAAATCGAAGCAAGTGAGAAAGGACACATACTGGACAAGACTCCCAGGTTGGTGTGGTAAAGAGAACTGGCCTTTTGGACAGTATTGTATGTGGGAGAGAGCTTGAAGTTTCTTGTCCACAGCAGGATTCACCAATAGACTATTCAAAAGTGCACATAAAAAGAACATGCACAGCACACATTCTGCACAAACCAGTCATCAACAAAAAGGGAGTTACTATTATTTACTGTGGCTCTTCCTACTGTTGCTGGTGCCACAGCTTCTCCCCAAGGGGAAGAGAAGGAGTCACTAAAAAAAAAAAAAAAAAGCAAGCAAATTGCCATGAAGACTCAGAATCCCTGTTTCCTCAGCTAAGCACATCAAAGAACATACACAGTGACCAAACAGAGATCTGTGGAGAATTAACCCTGTTTAGAGGGTAAAGCATCCCAGGCAGTCTCTCCCCGAGTCCCCACTCCCACCCCACAAGGAAGTGGGTTGGATCCCTGATGTTTTTCCATGTTAGACCAGTGTTACCCAGCTACTGAGTAGCTTTTGACGTCGATCTCAGAGTACAAAGTGGTTTCAATGACAGGAATGTGAGTTTGGCCATACTTCCCAGTACCCATCTCAGAAGAAAGGGCCAATGAGTTTCCTATGAGCTGCGTGTCCCAGTTCCATTCAGAATGCAGAAACTTCTGCAATTTGACAATTATTAGACCATTGCCTATGCCACCACAGACAGAGCTGAGAAGCAGCAGGAGTCTCCTGGGTATAGGAATGTCAGACTTCTCTGGAAGCTCAGTAGAAAAAAAACATCAAACTAAAGGGAAGAGTTCTTTGGTAGTATGAGCCCTTCAGTGGTATCATCAGTTAAAGCAGCCACAAAGAACATTCAGTCAATGTGTGAAAACAGACCTGAGGTAAACAGGGAAGAGGAGACAAATCTGAATGGGGCAGATGAGCAGCAAGAGGACCCTCAAGTGAGCTCAAGGTCCCATGTGGCCCCATGTGACCATTTTTAAAGTGATAGAAATGGAACTTTGCTGCCTGAGGTGCAGTAGGTTAAGGTTTGTCACCCAGAAGGTCCCAGCAACCTGGACTGACAGGTTCTGGTGCCTGGGTAGAAATGAAAATCCTCCATTTCTAGAGAATTTCAAGACATCACAGACGGCACAGGGACTGTCCTTAGGAAATCACAGATAGCACAGAAACTGTCATTTCCTTCAGTCTGCAGCAGAGATCGCCAGAGCTTTGGCTTCCTTTGCAGCCTGTCTCTACTAGGTCAGTGCTTCCCTCTTGGCCTAAGCGACATTGGTAGTCATTTATATCGAGGATGATATTTTCATCTGCCTCTTTCTTCTATTCTATAATCCCCTACTCTGTGTACTTGTCACCCTTTAAGTAGCATCTCTGGGTCTAAGACCATGGATATACAAAGAGCAAAAATGAAAAGTCCCTCTCTTGAGAGGGTGGAGTACTTCCTTTTCTCTTACTCTGAAGTGCACACTGACAGAGGAAGGAGAGGGTATAGAAGCATAAGCATGGCACAGTGTGCTGGGTGCCATACCAAACCCCAGGACACCATCAAGAACCCAAAATCTAGGTCCTATGACAGGCAGTCAGCAGTACCACGCTCACCTACAAGGGATGATTCTGAACAGCCCCCAGACTCTTTAAAGGCCTCATTCATGCCTACTTGCCCAGTGACTGAAGCCTGACATTAAGCATGCTGTAGATACTCAGCCAAGCGTCACCCCACATCCCAAGAGGGTGTGACTCCTCCAAACAGAGAGAAAGGGAAGTTGTGAGGATACCACAGGCATCCAGTTTGCTGGCCTTACCTCCTTTCCAAAGTAGGTAGATGGGGACCACATAGAGCATAACATGCTGGATGTAGTAAATCTCCAGTTCAAAGGGGAGCTGTGGGGAGAAGATGGAAAGAGGCATTTCAGAACACTTGGTCCATTAGACTCTGCTCAGAACCCAGACACCCTTGGCCTGCAGGAGCCACGAGATGGCAACCTCAGCACTGCGTCCATTCACTTCCCTTCACAATTCAAGAGAAAAAGAAGGAAATGAAATACTCTGGAAGATGAACTATACTACTGCATTTTTTTTGAAGAAGGCATTAACCACTTCTAGGTGAAAGAGAACAACTTCATATTGTATGAAATGTGATCCTTTTTGTATAGAAGACAAAATGAAAAATTTATATGCATGCTTTCCGGCAGACGGTTAATGTGTATAAAAATGACTGCACGCCAATTTACCAAACTGAGTAGGGGAAAAGATTGAAAATAGTTTGTACAGGGAAGAAGAGACCTTGACTTTAGACTTTATATGTTTTTAATACATAAATTTTCTAGTAAATCAAAAATAGCCAATACTAACCACATAACTAAAATAGTTTGAAGCCATAAAATGATCAATAGAGGGATACTTCACACTGTTAACTGCAACTGTTGCTCTAGAAGGAGAGGAATTTTATTTATATATATGTGTGTATGTGTGTAATATATAACACTTTATATACTACATATAATATATTTTATAATAGATAATATTTTTATTCCATTGTATAATTTATGATATTTTATTATATATAAATGACATAATAAAAATATATAATTATATTATATATCACTTTATTTTGTTACAGCATCATTCACAATAGTCAAGGTATAGAATCCACCTAAGTGTCCATCAACAGATGTAAAGATAAAGAAAATATGACATATTGGGGCTGGTGAGCTTGTTCTTTTCTATAGGACCTGAGTTCAGTTAACAGTGTCAAAACCACTTGTAACTCTAGCTCCAGGGTACCCAATACACTCTTCTGGCATTCATGGATACACACACAGCATAACATATACACACTAAGATACACATATATCATAAATAAAATAAAATTCCTAAAAATAGAAAATGTAGTATAGATGTACAGTATATAGCATTCAGACTTACTAGCACCCACCCCTTACTAAGAAACTAAATGCTGGGGAGGGGACAATTATTCTTCTTTGGAGATGTGGCTACTGATAGGCTGGCTGTGCTCTAGTGGATGATCCCATACCATGCATATATAGGCATCACTAAATGGATTTAGTAGACTATTATTTTAAACTGAAGAAGACGACATGGAGTTGGGAGGTAGACATAGGGGAGGAGATCCGCAGGGAAAAGAAGGGAGAAATGGGAAGTTAGATATGATATTTCATATCCTATTCCTATATGCACATGAGAGTCTCAAAGAATAAAATAAAAAAATAACAATAATGAAGGCCTGTCATTTGAAACCATCTAGTTGAATCTACAGAACATTATACTAAGTGAAATAAGCCAGACATGAGAAAGCCAACGCTACATGAATGCAATCATTGTTAGCAGAAATAGAATAGAGTATAGAACATGCTTCTATTTTCTAGTTATTTTTAATTTCTTTGCAGGTATATATTGCATCTTGAGCGTATTCTTTCCCCAACTCTTCTCTACTTCTCCCCTTCTCATTTCTTCCCTTTTTCCTCTTAGATAATTCTTCTTCTTCTTCTCTATGTTTTCTGTTTTTGTTTCTACATAAAATGTAAGGACTACATACAAGAGAAAATACACAATATTTGTCAATCTGAGACTGGCTAAATTCATGTTTAATACTAGTACTGATGGAACTTCCTGTGTAGAACAGGCTGCCCCTGAAGTCCCAAAGATCCAAATACCTCTACATCCTAAGTGTTGGGATTAAAGCAGTGGTTCAAAACCTGTGGGTCATTACCCCTTTGGGACTCGAATTTCAGATATCCTGCATAATCAGATATTTATATTATAATTCACAACAGTAACAAAATTTCAGTTTTGAGACAGCAATGAATATAATTTTTTTATTTGAGGTAGAATTGAAAATAATTTTATGTTTGGAGCCACCACAGCATGAGGAACTGTATTAAAGGGTTGCAGCATTAGGAAGGATGAGAACCACTGGATCAAAGAAATGTATCACCACACCCAGATTAAATATTGTGTGTGAAAGAGAGAGAGAGTGAGAGAGACAGAGACAGACAGAGGGGGGAGGGAGAGGGCAAGAGAGAGAGAGAGTAAAGAGAGAGGACTCTTTAGCCATAAGATGCATTAAGTAACTAATGATGATTTAGAGTTCATATTTTCTTTTACTTTTATAGTTCTTTCCCTCAGTGTATCTAAACATGTTTTAAAAAGAGCTTTTGGAGCTGGAGATGAACTTCAGTAGTAGTAGATTTCTTACTAACAGCACTCAAGGCCTTGGGAATTGATACTCAACACAGAAAAAAATATATATATAGTAAAGGGAAGACTCCCCCCCCAAATCCTGTGGTATCATATCTTTCCTGGTGACTCTACTCATAAGCATTTTTTGAGGTGAGATGCACACAACCCCTTTTTCAACATGGTAAGAAGGTGGAATGAGTAAGTCATGGCAGATCATGGGTCTTTCTTCCAGGACTACCCCTGACTTCTTTGTACTCCAAGTCTCAGCAAACAGGAACACAGTTATACTTGCCATAATGGCTGGCCCCAGTAAGCTCCTTAGTATCAAAGGAGATATTTTGAGCCCATGAAAGATGCTACTTCCTCTGGTGACACAGCAATTGGGGTAAGTCTATTTCCTGGTGTGAAAGACATGGCTGCCCTGACTTGCCTATCTTGTTTGGACAGGCTCATAGAACTGTATGGAATGGTGGTTCTAGCCCTTTTAGTCATGAGATATTCTGCAAAGAGTCATTTAGCTCTTTATTTTAACCAAGATAAAAGAAAATGAACTCTTAGTTCCTGTCCTTCCACTTATAACTGACTTTGGAGCTGCTACCTGTCCTCATGGGAAATAACTAAATAACACTCTGGGTAACTGTTGCTGGTACCTGAAGTCACATCTAAAGGAAGGGTGAAGCAAAAAGATGCCTGATGGTATAATGATGCTTAGTGATAATGACAATAATAACCATAGCAGGAACAACAGCAGCTACAATGGAGTGTTCTTAGGAAATATACTATAACAAAATCTGTTGCATTTTCCTGAGTTTTAATGACGAAAAGAATAAACATAATGATCTTAATGACTAATACTTCCAAACTCTAATGGATTGAACTGTCTCCCCAAATTTCAAGTATTAATGTCATAATCCCCAATACTTGATTATGTGACTATATCTAGAGACGGAGCATTGAAAACGATCATACAGGTAGGCTCTAATTATCATTAGGTCATCATTCAATAGACCAACATCCTCTAGAGAGGAAAAGATAGAATACAGAGAAAAACATGGAAGGCCATCAACAAATGCAAGAGAGGACCCAACGTGAAAATGATTCAGCTGATCCCTTGATCTTAGACATGTGAGAAAAATCTCTATAAGCAGTGTGTGGTACAGTCCCTATTACAGAAGTCCTAGCAAATTAATACCCTAGCCAACTGTGGAGTCTAATCTTCATCTTCAGCTTGACTAGACTTAGAATGACCTAGAAAGCGTACCTATAGAGCAGTGATTCTCAATCTTTTTAATACCGCAACCCTATAATACAGTTCCTCATATGGTAGTGACTGCCAACCACAATTATTTTGGTGGCTACTTCATAACTATAATATTGCTACAAGACAGTGTCTCTGTTCCTAAGATTACCAAATATATGTAGTTTCCGATGGTCATGACCCACAGGTTGAGAACCAGTGCTTTAAGCTGTCTATATGTGTGTTCCCTAAGAGGTCTGGTTGCAAAGGGAAGAATCTCCCTGAATATTGATGCTGTTACATGGGCTGTTGTTCTAGTCTGAATTAAAAAGGCAAAAAGGATAATGAGAGCTGAGAACAGCATTCACTGCCCTCTGCTTCTTGACTGGCTGCAAGGTGACAGCTGCTCGATGTTCCTGATGCCACAGCTAGCTGCCACTCTCTTCATTCTGGAGAACTTGAGGCAGAGAGAGGGCTATCCCAGGTAGAACAGAGAAGGACACTGGTCTACTTATGTGATGGAATGTCACTCTGACATAGACAAGACACTCCATAGTAAGAATGAGTCATGCTAACAAACTGTTGTTCAGATCAATAAAGTTCCAGAAAATGACATACATAATATTGTCTCCTTAAAGGCCAGTAAACAACTAAAACTAAATAACATCTTATTTAGGAATCTATAACTACATATTCATATTTATAGACATATCTGTACATCTGAGAGACAAAATTATTTTTTTATTTTACACATGCATATAATATGTATTCATGAAATTCCATATACTCTCTTTCTCTATGCCCCCTACCACTTTTCTTTCCCAATTTCATGTGAGCTCTTACTCTCTCTCTGTCTCTGAACTGAGTACACTTAGTGCTGCATGTATGTGCATGGATGTAGGACAGTCTACTGGAGCATGGCCAACCTTTCGAGAGCCACATCCCTGATGAAAATATACTTTCCCTCCCTTAACAGCTATCAATTGCGAATAGTTTCTCTGCTGTCAGGTGGGGCTTCATAAGGACTTCTTCCATCCATGCTGTTATTCTGGTGCAGGTCTTATGCATACAGTCTCAGCTGCCATGAGTTCATGTGTGCAACAGCCTTGTCATGTCCAGCAAATACTGTTTCTGCTGCATATGTCCACTGCTCCTGTCATCAAAAATCTTTGGAATAATTTCTTTTTTTTTTTCCCCAAAATGAGCAAAGGAATAATAACCAAAACTCGGGCTAGCAGTTTTCTCCTGGAGGAGGAAAGGACAGTGGCAGCAGGATTGGAAGGATAGCACATTAGGTTAGTTCTTATGCTAAGGCTTATAAAAATTATATGATCTGTAAACAAATGCATGCACAAATAAACTTAACAGAAAACATGCATGGATGAATGATGGGGATGCTACAAACCCACAACTATAAATGTGATTACCCCAACAGTGTACACCC